TAAAATCAAAAGTACCAAAAGGATGCGAGGAGGAGGAGGCAAAGATTTTGGCTCAACTCTGCCTGCCCCCAACCCCCCCCCCCCCCGTAGTCCACCCGTTGCCTCTCCGTGCCTTCCCCGGACAGACCAAGGCTGGGGGATAGAACAAAACCAAAGAATAAGAAGACTGCCGTACGTGCAGTAAGCCGGATCTCACACTTGGAGAACAGTGAAATAGAGGCAGCAGAATACATGCCCCCGGTGAACTGTACAGTAGGAAAGGGGAGAGAAAGGAACTCCCTAGAAGGGGGCGCTGGGTGGAAGGCAGAGGCCAGGACAAGGGGTTTCCACTCCAGCCGGGAACTGGCCCAAGGCCCCCCGGGCCTGCACTGGGGGGGGGGGGGGGTTCCCTCCCTGGTTTAGGAGGATACGGGGGGCAGGTCTGGCCTGACCCACACTCATCCACAGGAGTCCCACTCTGTCCCCGGCCACACAGGCAACGCCGCAAGTTCTTCTCTGCCACTCCCGTACCATCGGCAGAAGTGCAGCTCCTCCTCCTCTTGTGTCCCCCCCCCGCCCCCCCCCCCATATGCAGGCGAGAAGACCCAGGGGCTGATCGGGGTCTCGGAGCTGATCATCTCCACCTCTGTGCAGGGGATCGTCTTCTGCTTGCTGGGGGCCCAGCCCCTCCTCATCATCGGCTTCTCGGGGCCCCTGCTGGTCTTTGAGGAGGCCTTCTTCACAGTGAGTCTGGGGTCTGCTGGCCTCCCTCTGACAGCCGTCACCGTGGGGGGTGTTTCCGGGGGCCCTGAAACTCTCCCCTGGGCTGCCCGGGAAGCGGAGGGGCACTGGTGCATCTCCCTCTCAGTGTGGAAGGTCACGGGAACGCAGCCGGTGGTTGGAAGGAAACGCAGTCCTCTGCGTCCCCCGGCATCCTCCCCGGTTCAGTCTCGACCCGAAACCCCAGACTCCCGGGGAGCAGGGCTCAGCCAGGCCCTCGGCCAGAGACTGGAGGCACACAAGGGCCTTTCCAGCCCTGGGGAGAGCCACAGCTGCCTGACTGTCTGACTGTCCGCCTGCCCCCCCCCCCGCAGTTCTGCAGGTCCCACAAGCTGGACTACCTGGTGGGCCGCGTCTGGATCGGCATCTGGCTGATCCTCATCGTGCTGGTCATGGTGGCCTGGGAGGGCAGCTTCCTGGTGCGCTTCGTCTCCCGCTTCACCCAGGAGATCTTTGCCTTCCTCATCTCCCTCATCTTCATCTACGAGACCTTCTTCAAGCTGATCAAGGTGACCAGCAGCGAGGGGCGGCGTGCAGGCAAGAAGGCCGTGGGGGGGGGGAGGGTCTGGGGATCTGGGGCTGCTTCTGCTTCATGCCGGGGGGAGACTCTGCTGGGTCTTTGTTTTGGAATGCCAAAAACAACATCCATGATGAAAATAAATGAGTCAATGAAGATAAGTTGCAAAAACGTTTACTGTAGTAATTTCTGTAGAAAATTTTCTTCTACTACCACTCACACGCTAACGAATGCTGCGCAATATGAACAATTCGTTTCACGATATTTGCTTTATCTGAGCGTGTCGCAATCCCCAGTTCTTATCAATTACTACTTGTCAACTCTTGAAGGAAACATTCCATGTTGACTCTCTAATAGCCGAGCCCAGGGTCTTCACAATTGTGAAACGAATTGTTTTCAGTGCGCAGTATTCGTTAGCGTGTGAGCGATTATAGAAGAAAATGTTCTACAGAAATTACTACAGTAAATGTTTTTGCAACTTAT